ATCTGATCTGCCCTTTCCCCTCGAATGCCCAGCTGGCCTCTAAGCCATGGAGTAATCCTCCTGGTACTGATCTCGGCTATTCTTGGGTATTAAGCTCCTATTTTTTAACTTTATGTCCCCCAGATGAATGCAATCTTTTTATGTCTATCCCTCTCTTTCTGACTCATTTCACTTAGCACGATACTTTCCATGTAGTACCACTTGTATGTAACTTTCATGACTTTATCTTTTCTAACAGCTACATAGTACTTCATTGTATAGATGTACCAAAGTTTCTTTAACCAGTCATCTGTTCTTGGGCACTCAGGTTTTTTCCAGATTCTGACTATTGTAAAGAGTACTGCAATGAACAAACAAGTGCAGATGTCACTTCGACTATACATTTTTGCCTCTCTGGGATATATTCCCAGGAGTGGTATTGCTGGGTCAAATGGGAGCTCAATTTCTAATTTCTTGAGAATTGTCCATACAGATTTCCAAAAGGGCTGAACCAGTCGACATTCCCACCAACAGTGAAGGAGTGTCCCTTTCTCGCCACATCCGCGCCAGCATCGGTTGCTTTTGTTCTTTTGAATGTGGGCCAGTCTCTGAGGTGTGAGATGGTATCTCATTGTGGTTTTGATCTGCATCTCCCTGATGATTAATGATGTAGAGCATTTTCTCATGTGCTTTTTTGCCATTCGGATTTCTTCTTTGAGAAAGTTTCTGTTCATTTCATTGCCCATTTTTTGATGGGATTGGATGTTTTCTTCTTGTGGAGTTGAACCAGTACTTTATATATCCTTGATATCAACCCCTTGTCAGATGAATCATCCAGTTCTTCACTGTATTCTTCAGAGGCTGAACAAATAATCAAACAAGTGTCAGGCAGAGAGAATCATAAGAGAGAGAGAAATTTATCTATTTTTTTCTTCCCAAAGGTTTATTTTTAACATGACAGTTACTTGGTATTAAAAAATGTTATGATAAGGCATGTGAACTAAATAAGAAAAGTAATGTAGGTTGATATTTTTCTTTCTTTCTTTCTTTCTTTCTTTCTTTCTTTCTTTCTTCCTCTTTCTTTCTTTCTTCTTCTTTCTTTCTATCTTGTCTTTCTGTCTTTCTCTATCTCTTTTTTTCTTTCTATTATTAAGTCAAAGTGAGATACACAATTACAAAGTTGTTCGCGATTGGGTTTCAGTCATGCGTGGGTTTCAGTCATGGTTGCTAATGATCTTTAAAAGGCTCAAGGATTGGGCCAGTGAGATGGTGGGTAAGGCACTTGCCTTGCATGAAACCAATTCAGGTTCATTCCCCAGCTCCCTGTATCATTCTCCAGTCACCCGTAAGAGTGATTTCTTAGCAGAGCTAGGAGTACGCCCTGAGCACTGCCAGGTGTGTCCCCACAACTTTTTTTTTAAGGGCTCAGGGATTTTACAATGGTGGGTAGGGGGCACTGGGAAGCAGATGATTAGAGAGTGGTGCTGGAGTATTTTATGTGTGAATCCATATGCCTAATAGTTTTATAAAGCACAGGTGCCTAAAATAACATTTAAAATTAAAGGCTGAGGGATGTGGAATGTGTCTCCAGGAACGAGCCTTCTGCTTGTCCTCCTTTCTTTGACATCAGCCATGCTTATTCCACCTCCCATGCTGCATTTGGTTCTACCAACATCTTCATGTACAATCTACTGTTTCACATAGACCCTCCTGCTCATTCCCATTACATAGTTGACCTAAGTCCCCATAGTCCTTGGACCTGCCCAACTGGGTAAGAGAAATTTATTGTCTTTTTAATCAATTAGGTTTTTGTTTGGGGCCATGCCTGGCGGTGCTCAAGGCTTACTTCTGGCTCTGGACTTAGGGAATCATTCCTGGCGGGACTCTGGGGACCATAACCATACAGGATATCAGGGATTGAATCTGGGCCAAACCTGTGCAAGACAAGCACCGTACCTGCTGGACTATAGCTCTGGCCCCCAAATAAATTTATTACTAGCATGTGCACCTTCTGCACACATGCAAGAGAGCTGGCCAAGATCATCAGAATAACGCACCAGAAGCTCCCATCTTTAAAGATCTTAGCTTATGCAGAGGACTTTGGGAAGTGAGCAGATGTAACAAAGGCATGCAGATTGGAGTATATCTTCCCTAGAGATGGCATTAGAGAGATTGTTCACATAAAGATAGCTGTTCTAAAGGTAGTCCAGCGGACATGGAGATGCTGCAGGGGGCTGAAGCACATGCTTTGCATGTGGGATTCCAGGTTCAACATCCAGCAGTATGTGATCCCGAGCACCTCCAGCATAGTTCAAGCCCTCCATCCCTCTCAAAAAAGTTTTATTCTTAAAGAGGCCCACAGCCTGATAATGAAAATCAATGAGGCTAGACTAGAGTAACAGAAAAACAGACCAAAGGTAGTCTCTGTTTGGCATCCAGGGTCCCTCCCAGGGAATTAACCTTGTGCCAAAGCCTTGGTTGCGCGTGGTGGGTGGCAGATTTTTCACTCTTTTTCAGATGATCTCCAACCCCTAGCTAGCACAGAAACTTTCTCTCATGAGTCTTGTTTTCACTTTACAATATTGAGGATTAATTAGGAGAGGGTAGTTGTTTTTGTTTTTTACATTCTATCTTCCACCACAAAATGGTTCTTATCTAATTTACCCAACTGTGATAAGTGGAGATCACATTGGTTAGACTACCACTCTCACACTTCGTTGAAAGTGTCACTGGAAACTGATCCCCACGCCAGCCCGTGCTTGTGGGTCCTTGATGAATGTCTGAGAGATTTGCGTACAGAACTCCCAATATTTATGAAGTTACAGTTTATTTTCACTTTTGTGTTGGAGGTTCTAGGACCCTCCCCGTGTCCAGGTCTCTGTCTCTTTCACCCAGGTATGACATCACTCCTCCCATCCCATCACTGTCCCATCTCCAGTGTAAGGAGAGCAAGTTCTGCCCTACTGTCCTCCTTCCTGTGTATGAGCTATGAGTCTGAGGGCTGTGGCTGGAACCCTCTCACCTGTGTTCCTCTGCTTTGTGATCTGTTGCAGGACTCCTTGGGCCACGTCTCCAGGCCTCCCACCCAGAAACTTTTTGTCCCTTTTGCTTGCCTAATTTTCTGGCCACATACAGCCAAGTATATGTGCCACAACTGTATGCATGGGTAAGAACTGCATCACAGAGAGGATTTGGGGGTCACACCAAGCATTGCCCACCTATGCCTGGATCTGCACTCAGGAATCACTCCTGGTGGCATGAGAGACCATATGTGGTGCTGGGCATCAAGCTAGTGTCAGTTACATGCAAGGCAAATGCTTTCAGCCTTGTCCTGTCTCTCCAGCTCTTCTCATAACTACTTGAACTACTTATTAGTTTCAGTATGCATTATTTTTTTTTAACTTGCTTGGGGGCTACTCCTGGCTCAGAGAACCATGTGGTACTGAGGATAGATCCCAGGCCTCCTGCCTACAAACCTCTATGCTATTGATTTATCTCTCCAACCCAGCATTATTTTGTTAAGTTCAGTTTAAAACTTTTCATTGTAATTTCTTCTTTTGCCTTGTGAATTATTTAGAAATACCCTTTATTTCCATATACACATTGTTTCTTTTTGTTTGGTTTTGATTGGGGGCCATACCTGGCAGTATTGGGAATGAGGGACAGAGTACTGCCTGTGTTGCTTAAGGTTCCATGTGGTGCTGGGTCACACCTCACCTCTCATGCAAAGCACACCCTCAGTCTCTGGCTCCCAAGTGTGCAATGTTTCTAGATGTATTTTTATTTTGGTTAGGGGGTTGGGGTGGGTGACATAGTGATTCTCAGGGGCGATTCCTGACTCTATGCTCAGGAGCAACTATATGTAGTGGAAGGGATCAAACCAGGGTCAGTCAAAGTGGCCACAAGTGCCTTACCTTACGTCTTGTTCTTTCTCCTGCATCTTTTCAGTTTAGTTTTGGTAATGATTTAATTTTATTATTTTTAGCTTATTTGCTCGGTAGTTTTTGGAGGTGGTCCCAGTGATCAAATCCACAGTATTACACATGTAAGACATGTGCTCTAACATTGAACTATATTTCTGGCCTCTTTTAAATGCTCAGAGTACATTGTCAGTTTGATCTCAGTAATTTTCCAAATTTGGTTCGAAACATTAAGACTTATTCTATAATCATTTTTTGGTAAATATTTTCTGTATTCAAAGTAGAGGATGTATATAATAAAGAAACTGGATTTGCTGTATTGCAAATCATAATGCCCAAAAGTAGAGAGAGAGTATGGGGAAATTGTCTGCCATGAAGGCAGGGGGAGGGTGGGAAAAGGGTATATACTGGGGAGATTGGTGGTGGGGAATGTGCACTGGTAGAGGGATGGGTGTTTGATCATTGTATAACTGTAACTCAAACATGAAAGCTTGTAACTGTATCTCACAGTGATTCAATAAAATAAAAAAAAATTAAGAAAGAAAAAGAAACTGGATTCGGGGACCAGAGAGATAATACAAGAGATAAGATATTTGCCTTGCATGTGGCCAAACCAGTTTCAGTTCCCAGCATTGCAGAAGAGCTGCCATGGGTCACTTCTGAGCAGAGCCAGAAATAGCTACTGAACACCACCAGGTGTGTCCCAAGCCTGCCCCGCCCCCAAAGAAAAACCAGAACTGGGTTTGGCCAGAAATATGGAAAACAGAAATCTATATTTATCTTCTATAAAGAAAATAGAAAGCTGTATGTATCTGTTATAATCATTTCTGATCATTATCATGATCACCAGTTACTTCTGAAAATAAGGATATTTATTTTAAGAAATTGTGGGGTTTTTTTGGGGGGGGTCACACCCGGCGATGCACAGTTATTACTCCTGGTTCATGCACTCAGGAATTACTCCTGGCGGTGCTCAGGGGACCATATGGGATGCTGGGAATCGAACCTAGGTCATCTGCATGCAAGGCAAATGCCCTACCCGCTGTGCTATTGCTCCAGCCCCAAGAAATTGTGGTTTTAATGACTTTTTTTTTAATAAAGCAACTTCGCTCCAATATCCGAGAAATGGAGAAGCTTTGCTTGAAAGTTCGAAAGGACGACTTAATACTTCTGAAGAGAATGATAGATCCTATTAAAGAAGATGCAGCAGCAGCAACTGCCGAATTTCTCCAGCTCCATCTGGAATCTGTAGAAGAACTTAAGAAACAGTTTAAGGATGAGGAAACATTATTTCAGCCTTCACTGACCAGATCCATGACTGTTGGTGGTAATGTATTGTAACTAGGTCTTATTCTTGATCCTGGCATTGTAATGAATGAAATCACAGTTCCTTGTATAAATATGACAGGCAACACATGCCACAAGATAGCACTGCCTATTCCACTGTGCTGACGTTTTAGGCTCTAACTATACCTGGAGATATGTACCCAAGAAATTTTACAAGATTAATATATATATATATGTATATATATATATATATATAGTGAGTCTATGTCATATAAAATAGAATTTCAGGGTTTCTGTGCCTTATTTACCAACTTGTCAAAAATCACTTAAAAATTCTTTCCTAAGGAGAATGTCATCCTGGTCATTCCCTTAACTCCATAGCAAGAGAAGCCTAGCAAAGCCTACATTTTTCCTTGTGTTTTTATGGTTTTTTGTTTGTTTTTGTTTTTTGGCCACACCCAGTGGTAGCACTGTAGCACTGTCTTCCCATTGTTCATCGATTTGCTCAAGCGGGCCCAGTTACATCTCCTTCAACTTGTTGATACTGTGTTTGGCGTATTGAATACATCATGGGTAGCTTGCCAGGCTTTGCTGTGCGGGCAAGATACTCTTGGTACCTTGCCGGGCTCTCTGAGAGGGGTGGAGGAATTGAACTTGGGTCAGCCAGGTTGGCCGTATGCAAGGCAAACACCCTACCCATTGTGCTATCGCTCCAGCCCCAACACCCAGTGGTACTAAGTGCTTACTCCTGGCTATGCACACAGAGTACAGTCCTGTCAGGCCATGGGGCCATATAGGGTGCTGGGGAATCAAACCTGATCAGCCACATGCAAGACAACTGCCCTACTTACTGTACTGGCATCCCTACCACAGGAATACATTTTTCTTAAGCACTCTGGTTTTACTGTGCTTGAGGGTGGGAAGGTTTTATTAAAAACAAAAAACAAACAAAAAAAACCCAAAAAAAACAGTCCTATGAAATTTGTCATTATGTAGCTTCTAAGGATTAACTTAATCTTGTTGATTTGTTGATTACATTTATGTAATATTTTTAATAAGGAATTGGAAAAAATAATTATTGGTTTAATGCATAGTAGTATTTCAAAGCAGCTGGTTGGTATTTATCTTCATCTTATAGGCATCGAGCCCTGCAACAGATATAGGTTTTCCTATTTGAGTTATGTAATAGAAATCTTAAATTCAGATTTTTTGACTACCAAAAGTAAAATATTTTCACCATTCTGGCTTAAAAATAAACAATTGCCGCCCTTGTCTTTCCTTTTGACTTGAGGGTTTCACTTTTATTTTTAATTTATGCTACCTTTTTACAATCCTTCTAAGCTGCCTTTAAGTCTGTATGGAAAAGGTGGGGTATAGATAAAGTTACAATATAATAGAACAGAATCTAAGGGTTGGCTTCTGTAACCACTTAGCCAATTTTTCTTATCAGGAGACTCTCGTACCTATCTCCAAAGCCAGATTATTTTTAACTTTTTCTTTTTAGTATTAATGATACAGTATAATTTATAGGATATTTAACATAATCTATTGGAGGAAGTATTTAGGCCACTCTCAGGAGCTCTGAGTAATCTTATTTCTGTTGTATTCCAAAGCCGTTCACAAAGAACATCATGTGTGGCATTAATAAATTTTTCATAAGCTTAAGTGAGTACCCATCATTTTAAAGATAATTTCATAATTTTTGATGTGCTAGAGCTACTTCATTCATTCTGTGTGTAATCAGTAGCCAAAGTATTTTGAGGAGAAGGAAATGTGAGTAAACTCTTCCTAGTTGAAGTGCATGAGGGAAGAATGCCTTTTGATCGGTAAGGGTTACTCTTTACATTGTTAGTTCGAATATGGCCATCACGCTGGTGAGACCGAATGATGTTGTTATTATGTAGTGCATACTGATTCTCTGTGAAGATGCTTAGAGAGACTGGATTTTCTAAACCCCTGTGATTAAGGGGCACATTGTCCACCCAGACTTCATGAACGTTGGCATGGCAGTAATAATCGTGGAGCTATGCTGGGTTTTTGAACATGGGTGGCTGGTTTCTCTATTTTGTTTTGAATTGCACAGTCTCAAGAATAGCTCTTGAACATTTTCTCACAATGCAATAGTGTTCTAATATTTGCATTTTATAATTGCCTTGTTGGTGTTTCCAGAACTGTTCAGGCTCAGCAAACTGGGATTTATTTATCATCAGAGGGATCAGAGGATTGCTAGAAGAAGGCAGTTTACCTATTTTCCTGGCAATTAGTTTTCTTGTAGGAAGCTGTTATTTAAAAAAAAAAGTTGGCAAATATGAGGATGCATATGTCAAAGGAAATAAAAAAGATTGGGACAGAGCCAGAGAATGAAGGAGAAGAAAATGTGAGTGAAATTATTTTCCTAATTCCCTTGAGTCAGAACTTCTCAATTCATGGGACACCAGATTAGCTTAAGATGTAACCAGTTACCCCTGGGGGTGGGGGAAGATCTACAGAATTAATTTTCAGAAAACTGGTGCTTGTTTGGTTGAATTCCACTTATAGAATTAGCTACTTCTGTTATTCCTAAATCAGTGTCTAGAATTTCAGATTCTCAGTGACCTGCTGGTCCGATTGTGCTTTGGCTTCGAACCCACTGCCAGTATAAAACATTTCAAATGAACTGTTTCGTCAAGGGCCTGGGTATTTTGCCAAGTGTGAGATTGCCTTGAGTTCAGAAATATTAGCCTAATTGTGAAGATGGGAAAGAGGCAGTGAAATGAAAAGAAAGCAGTCAATTTACTTAAGACTTTAATAGTGGCGTAGGAATGGGGTTTGCTCCATATGCGGTCTCTTCTAGCTATAGACTCTTCTGTCATTCTACGTATTTTTATCTGGTGTTCTCTGGTTCTTCCTTATTTTTACTTTAGATACTCATTATAGTAGTGACAGCCTATACGGGGGGAAAATGTGTTTTATTTGCATAGAAGTGCCTTAAAATACTTTTTCCTGCAAAAAATCCAATCTGATTCTAAATAAATTGGTTGGAAACATCAGCAGAGATTCAGGAGCGGCATCGCCACATTTCCATGAGTGAGAGCAAAATACAAAAATAGTTTTCCATTTACAGATAGAAATAACAAGTGGAATGGGACATTTTATGTTCTCCGGAGAATGAAAGAAGCTTATTAAGTTTAAGGAGGAAAGCTGTGATGATTTTGCGGTTTCTTTTGTCCCGATCCTGAGAGTTCCTCAAGCACATCTCCTCTGCCAATCTTGTTTGATCTGAGAAACTCCCTCTGTCTCACTTATGAGTCTGCTTTCATTTTTAGCGTATTATTTCCCACCAAGAGAAGTGATGAGCCTGCAGATTTGATATGTGTTTAGGAAGGTCTATGAAGCCCTACAGAGTGAACCAGTGCTGCGTCTTCAGCTTTGTGTTCCTTACACTCTATCCAGCACACATACTTCTCTGGTGCAACAGGGAACAGAATCTTTCTTACTACACTTTAAACAAATAGTCACTAGGGAAAAGAAGCCCTCTTTAAAATGCTGGAACTTCAGGTCAGCATATTGAATTTGATGAAACAGTCAATTATATCATAGGGATAAACATGTGCTGAACATTTTGTGAGACATGTTGATGGTTTTGTCTATTACTTAAAGATGTGTTTTCTGCTAGCTAGTTTTCATTTTTTGAAGTCCCCTATTGCAGATAAATTAAGCCATGGCTTAAAATCATTTTATTTGGGACAAATTTATGTAGATGGTTAGGAGATTAATTTCACTATGTTAATATGAAAAAAATCAATAAATTCTTTAGAATTAGTTTATAATGAAACTTTTCCTAATGTAGCAGAAATTTCTTACATAGTGTGTTATAATTTTTTGTAGAACCCTTGCCGTTTTTGAAATTTGGGGAGAGAGCAAAGAAATGAATATTTGGATGTCACTGTCTCTGTCCTCCCATTGTTCATCGATTTGCTCGAGTGGGCCCAATAATGTCTCCATTGTGACACTTGTTACTGTGTTTGGCATATCGAATATGTCACAGGTAGCTTGCCAGGTTTTGTCGTGTGGGCAAGATACTCTTCGAGAGAGGCGGAGGAATCGAACCTGGGTAGGCCAGGTCAGTAGCGTGCAAGGCAAATGCCCTACCCACTATGTTATTGCTCCAACCCATGTGGATGTATAGAGGGAAAAATTCTTACATTCATGCTTTTAAACTAATATCTCGCTTTAGCAGAACATATCTTGTTTTGAGTCTATAGCAAAGAATAAAGGGTCTGAAAACTAGACTTGGAAAAGCAGTGGTGAGTGATGTATATTCTTCACACGCTGCAATTATTTGCATGTAGATAGAGCTGAGATTATTATGTCTTAGAAAACAGTTTCAGTTTTTATTCTGTGTAAATGATAGAGTTCTTCAGCCTTCTCTACATCTGCAATTTGTTTCAGTGTTTAGCCTTATCATGTCTGAAGCAATTTATGAATAATGAGTCAATGGATGATAACCGAGGTAATGATTTTTTTAAAATAAAAGCTGTAAAAGACTATGAAATTAAAGGGTTTCTTTTCTTAATTGTTAGTCATGCTTTGAATTGATCAGGGATGTTCAGAGTTGTAAGTTTACAGCAGGATTTTCCATGGAATATAATAGATTCCTTTGTTCTAAGACTATTTGAACTAAGATGCATACGCAGTTTGGTTTCAAATGAGCAATGAATGACTTAAACATTTCTTATTTTTCACTAAGGGAAATCTTTCATGTTTGCTTAAAATGTCAAGTATTTCCCATCCCTTCATTTTTCAGATGAAGAACCTATGTATGCTAATTTTGGCTCATTTTGTAATAGTTCTGGCATGCTCCATTCAAATTCTCTTTAATAGTACAAAAAATGTGGACTAAAATATATCTTTAGGGACTAGCGAGATAGTACAGGGGTTAAGGTGCTTGCCTTACATGAATCTGACCCTGTTTCTCTCCTGACATACACATCATCTACTGAGTACAGGAGTGATGAGTACAAAGCCAGGAGTAGCCACTGAGCACTGTCGAGTGTGGTCCCACTACCAAAAACAAAAAAAAATCTTTAGAATAGGCATAGTGTTTATAAAATTCCTCTTTATATCTGGTCTGTTTATGGTAACACTTAACAAAATTATCGTTCACTCTTATTAAAGTTGTGGTTCATCTACAATAGGAATAGTCCATGGAACGAAAGTGTTCGAGTAATTTGAATTATTTATTTCGAGTGAAGTGAAAATGGAAGTGTCTTAGAACACTGGATAAATGATTCTTTTAAGCATTTGTAAAAAACAAGATTAAAATTTAAAAATACTGGATACAGGGCCAGACATAGTATAACAGGTAAGGCACTTGCCTTGCACACAGCCCATCCAGGTGTGAGCCCTGGCACCCCATATGATCCCCTGAGCCCACAGAGAGTGGTTCCTGAGTAAAGAGCCAGAAGTAGCTTTGAGCACAGCTGGGTATGTCCCCACCCCCCCCCAAAATTAGATACTTGCCATAAGTTTGTAATGTAAAACTTCCTCTGGAATGAGACTGGGGCACATGCTTTTCATGCAGAAGCCCCAGGTTTGGTCCCCAGCACTGCTGGACTACATAGACCCCTGAGCACTGATCCAGGAGTAGCCCCCAAGAAACACTTAGGATGGCTCAAAATAGACATAAAGCCATAGATCTGATGTTTTTACTCTTCATATTAAGAGAGGGAAGCATATTTAGATAAATTGAGATCGGACTTTTAATCAATACTATCAATTCTGATACATCTACAAAAGATATTGTTGTCAGCTATACACTTCCTAAACAATCCAGACAAGCTTATTTAGTAACAGTGGTAGGTTTTGAAGGTAAAATAGTAATGTACGGCCAGAGTGATAGCACAGCTGGTAGGGCGTTTGCCTTGCATGTGGCCAACCCGGGTTTGATCCCCGGTATCCCATATGGTCCCCCAAGAACCACCAGGAGTAATTCGAGCACAGCTGGGTGTGCCCCCCACCAAAAGGAGTAACCCCTGAGTATCTCTGGGTGTGACCCAAAATCAAAAAAAAAATGCAGGTTTTTATTTTTTTGTTTTTTTTTAATCAAGTACTTGTTTGCTAGTGGGAAAAGATGGAAAAAGTGGAAAGGTAAGATAACCTTAAGGTTATGGTGACTTATTTTAAGAGTAAATCACGAGTCCTGTGTCATTATGTTGTTTCCCTGTTTATAAGCCGTCAGTGCTCACCATTGTCTGCCAGATAAAGTTCAGAGTAAGTGGCTTGCACAATCTCCTCACACTTATGACTATGTCTTTTACTTCCAGCTTTGGCCAGACCACACTGCTGACCTTACCATAAGCTACATTACTTCTTCTTTCAGGGCCTTTTTTTCTTGATCCCTCAGTCTAGAGTTTACCTTTCTGTCTTTGCCCGGGAAGGGCACCTTCTCTGTGGAACCATCCATAAATGTACACCACACCACTCTAGCTCGGACACCCCTGTCATATTCCAAGGCTCTGTCCTGCCCTTTGCCAGGGTGCTCTGTTAATGGTTTTAGGATTGTCTTGCTTCTAGAGTGTAAGTTCCTGGAGAGCAGCTGCTTTGCCCTATATTTCTCTCCTTCATCTCGGGTGCCGCATCACGCAGTACTCAGTGGCTGTTTAGGAATGTTTACTGGAAGGTGTTTGAGCTTAAAGTAAAGGAGGCTGAAAGGAGTACTGACCTGCAGATAACCTCTTTTCCTTCCCATTGTCTCCATCCTGGAGCAGACCATCATCATTCAGTACTAGACAGACTGGAAGGGTTTACCAGTTGGCTTTTCAACTTTCAACTCCTCCCTCCATCTTCTCCTCACACTGCAGCTTTCGTTGCCCTAATTACGGCTGCCCTCAGCTTCCCAATCGTCTCCAACTCCTTTGAAGAGTTCTATATTAATCTTATGAGACAGACCAAGCTCTTAAACCCAGTACGGTGCTATGAATTGTGTCATCTCCGATGTCTAGCCTCGCCCATTATTTATTTATTTTTTGCTTTTTGGGTCACACCTGGCGATGCACAGGGGTTACTACTGTCTCTGCACTCAGGAGTTTCTCCTGGCGGTGCTCAGGGGACCATATGGGATGCTGGGAATCGAACCCGGGTCAGCCGCGTGCAAGGCAAACACCCTACCCGCTGTGCTGTCTCTCTAGCCCCATAGCCTTGCCCTTTAGTTTTCTCTTGTTGTAAGTCTTTGCTTTGGCTGTACTGAGCTTTGATCAGATTCCAGCCCTCTGTGCATATCATTTTCTCGACCTGAGCCCTCTGCCTCGCCCACCGTCCTTGCCCCTGTGGTCTTCATTAAATACTTCTCTGCCATACTCATGTAGCTTTTTATCCTTACCCACTGCATTGTTGTTGTTGTTTTTAATCAGAGAATATTGAACTTGCCTGTCTCTGTGCCACACTATATACTCAACTCCATTAATTATAGCTACAGTAACAATGGTAGCACTAGTGACCGTACATATATACATATACACACACATGTACATATATTCACACACAGGCACTTGACACGTAATGGGTACAGAACAAAGTAAGCCTCACCTGGCTTTTTTTTTCTTTTACGCAGTCAAAATATGAGTCAGAAAAACAGGGTTTTGAGATAGTATAGTGGGTAGGGCTCTTCCCTTGCATGTGGCTGATCCAGGTTCAACCCCTGGCACTTTATCTGGTCCCTCAAGCCTGCTAGGAGTGATCCCTGAGCAGAGCCCGGAGTAATCCTTGAGCACAGCCAAGTATGGCCAAAAAACGAAACATAACAAAATTAAAAAGTGAGTCTAATGAAAAGCACTACTAAATTACAAAAAAGTACATATAGCAAGAAATTAAAAAAAGTTGTCAGCACTAATAATGACTATGTTTCATTAATTAAATACCCTTCACTTTCTGGGGCTGGAACAATAGCACAAAGGGTAGGGAATTTGCCTTGCATGTGGCCGACCCGGGTTTGATTCCCAGCATCCCATATGGCCCCCAGAGCACCAGGAGTAATTCCTGAGCACAGAGCCAGGAGTAACCCCTGAGCATCACCAGCTGTCAAAAAGAAAAAAAAATCAGTTTCTGGCCAGAGAGAGAGTCGAGAAGGTGAGGCATTGCCTTGCATGTGGCTCGAGCGTGGTCCCCTAGCCTCTCCCCTGGGTACTCCTGAGGGATTCTGGGGATAAAACCCGGGTTGGCATGCACAAGTTAAATGTCCTACCCACTGTACTATCCATCCAGCCCCTGATGGAGTTCAGTCTTGCTATTGCCATTCTAACAGTGCAGCTAACTGTGGGTCTGTGTCCATCCAGGAAACTTTCCCGAGACCGAACCTGATGCCAACTCTCAGAGTCTGACTCAGATATATGCGTTGCCTGAAATTCCTCGAGATCAAAACGCTGCAGAATCCTGGGAAAACTTAGAAGCGGCAAGTTCAAAGCTCTTTTTTTTTTACCCCTTTTCAGTGACCAGGAGGTGTGAAAATAAATAACTTGCCATTTTGTCTCTTTTTCTTTTTTAAAGGACTTAATTGAACTTAGCCAACTGGTCACTGACTTCTCTCTCCTAGTGACTGTAAGTATGTAGCTCCTAAGAGATCAGATGTGTTGGGGTAACAGGGTGAAGACTTTTATCTATCACTAGGCTTGTGTTATTGTTTTGTTTTGTTGGGGGATGGGGGGCGGGGGGGGGGCAAACCTGTAAGTGCTGGGGAAGCTACTCCTGACTCTGGAGGTTGCTCCAAAGGGGCCAAGGAGTGAGGGGGTCTGTTTGGGGACAGCAGAACAGTAAGATGGCAAAGAGAAGGTTATGGCCTCCCAGGAGCAACCACTACTTCAACGTAACCAAAAAGCATAAGGTACCAGGGGTGAACGAAGGAAGGAGGGGGAGGGCCAGGCTGAGGACAGGGCACTGAATGCCAGGTGTTTTTTTTTTCTTTTGAGTTTACTCTGTAGCCATTAAGAAACCGACTCAGACTTTTGTGCAGGTTCCAGTAATAGGATTCAGTTTGTGCATCTGAAAGATCTCGTGAGGTGGGGGTCTCAGGAAAGGGGAAATAATAGGCCGGGCCGCATTAGGAGTTAACTGAAGAATTGAGCCAAGGGCGATGGCAATACAGGTGTAAAGACAAAGGATGGCTGAGAGGTAATTCCTTAGAAAGCAGAGGAGGATGGGAGAATCAGAGATAAAGATAGGGAACATATTTTGCTCAGTTGGGGAGCTGTGACACTCATTAATATATTAGCGGACAAAAAAAGGATTTGGTGTGAAAGAATAAAATTTTCTGTCATTTTTCTAAATTAAACCTTTACTTTCCCAAATGTGGGAAATGTGTGTGTGCGTGTGTGTGTGTGAATGCACGTATATATGTGTGTGTATGTGTGTGTGTGTGTGTGTGTGTGTGTGTGTGTGTGTACACACAGGTATGAACCTGTTTCTGCTTATATATCTAAGTTTTGTTCTTATTTTTTTGTTCACTTTTTAAAAATTTGTTTGCTCGTTTTTGGGGGCCACACCTGGCAGTGCTCGGAGACTACACTTTAACTCTGTGTTTTGGAGGTTTCCAGAAGTGCTGGGGAGACCACACAGTGCCAGGGATCAAACAGGGGTCTACCCAAATGCCTTAATACCGGTGCTAGCTCCCTCCTGCGCAAGTTCTTTGTTCTTGATCCACGTGTGTCTGGGGGGTTGTATATCTTTGAGTTATGGTTTCTCTAGCATGTAGCTTTAAATTTTAAGAAGTTTCCATGCCACAACAGTGCCAGAATTGGAGTCGGAAAGAACTTTAGAACAGTATCAAATTCTTCTATACTTGTCCCTGCTTTTCACAAAGATGGCCTTTTGCCCATTTTAGAATGCAGTGCCGGGATATGTTTCTTCAGCCACCGGGAGGCTCTCACTATTAGAAGTTCTTCCTTCTGGGAACTGAATGTAGCCGGCCTGTAGTAACTTCCTCCAAGCACCTTTGTCCTCTGTAGCCATCTGCTAGACAAGTCTGGTGATTTATTTAAAAAATTATTTATTTATTTATATATTTATTTTACCCTACCCCATCTCATTTCTGCTGTTAAAAATTCTTGATTCCATCTGGAATATAATTTACAGGCTTTGTAGTACTAGCTCCGTATACTCTGCTTATTTTCTTATTTGTCTTTTTTTTTTTTTAAATGAAGTGCCTGGGGGTTGGGGAGAAAAGTCATGGGGGTGGAGGGAATGTTTCACATGCCGGAGTCCCAGGTTTGATCCTGGTACCTTATGGTCCCCCAGCACAGCCAGGAGTGACCCCCAAGTACAACTCAGGAGTAGCCCCCGGGGTTCCACACAAAGATTTGTCAAGGCTTCTCATATGCACATTTTGATATGCGTTACACTCCATGTGGCCCAGAAGCTGGGGGTGGGGGTCGGTGGGGGGGGAACCTCCATGCCTAAAGTTAAGCACATTAAATTGCCTAAAACATTTTCCTTTTTGGTGCCTCTAAGTCAGAGGAAGCAAAATGTTTTAAGTAGCTGCATTAGGTTTGTATATCTATTCCTAATTGCATACAGAAAGGATGAACCAGCAGAACCCCACAATATTTGTTGTTTTCATAATCAAAGTTTCTTCCATTATTTTAGTCCTGATCTATGTATGATGTAATAGAATTTATAAAATCTGTGCACGTATGGTTCCACACATAGATTTGTCAAGACTTTTCATATGCACACTTACTCCATGTAAATTATATATCAATGGAATACTTTGGAATAACCACCATGGACACATCTCCTCTCATTCATACTTTTCCTTCCAGTGACGTAAGCACGTGAAAGGGGAGTTAAGGTCTGTGGCCATTTAGCAGTGGCATGCTGAGTGGGTTCTGTAAGTGGGCCTCGCCCCTTCTCTAAGCAGGATCCATGCGGGAAGACCTTGGCTGCAGCATTTGCCCTTACACAAATGTGCTCTTTATAGCGAATCTGTGCAGAGACATGAGACGGGATGCTTTCGGGCAAAAGCTCAAAGGAGAACCCAGGGGTGACCAAGTTCCCATGACCACATGGCCAGAGCCTCACAGAAGCTCCTTTTAGGCGCCGACTGACTCCGAAGCATAACCAGAGCGACCACATCCTCTCGTTGCCATCACATGGACGTGATCGCGTCTAGCCAGTGTGCCAGTGTAACCAGCTTTTACAAGGCTTTTTTTCTGTGCGCACAGCCCTGTGCTGACAGACTCCAAGCAGAGAGAATGTAGTGGAAGAGAAAACCAATAGCACCCCTCCTTCCCCTCCCAGGATAGCGGCCCAACGTGATGTGTTCAGTGCCACTAACTTGCGCCACTGAGAAATGTTGAGATTTGTCAGTTTTGTGTCATGTATATTTTTTACCACCGTGAAAACGAAAAGAACCTACAAAGCCACTGAAAGTCGACTGCGTCCCGTATAGATGTGGATAGATTAGCAGGACAGTAACTGTTTTCAGCAGGAGGAAAGAGCAAGTCCCTGGCTCTGTTTTTCTTCAGCTCTTCATGTGTCAGTGCCCATTTCTCTCCCTAGAATTGTAGGATCTACCTGATTTTGCATCCTGGGGAATTTAAAAGAACTCCGGGGTAGTCACTCAGCAGTGAGCCCCCCTTGCTCCTAGTCCTGTTTCACCTCTGTCTTCTGCCTCATTCATTCCCTTTGCCTTGTTTTGTTTTGTTTTGTTTTGTTTGGAGTTCATACCCGACTGTGTACAGGGCTTACTTCTGGCTCAGTACTTAGGGGTCACCCCTGGTGCTCCTGAGGGAGCATATGTACCTATGCCAAACCCCAGACAGCTGTGTGTAAGGCAAGCGCCTTAATGGATTGTCTCTCTGGCCCTCCTTTTGTTTGTTTTGTTTCTTGGGTCACATTCCGTGGTACTCAGAGGTTACTTCTGGCTCTGCACTCCTGGCAGTGCTCAGGGGACCATATGGGATGCTAGGAATTGCATTCAGGTCAGCCATAGGCAAGGCAAATGCCCTACCCGCTATATTATCACTCCCACCTCCACCCCTTTTTTATACTAGTTTAACTTGATGCATAAAAAGTGAGTTACAAAGAGTTAGCTCCAGTTCCTGCATTTTTGAATATGTGACCTTCACCATGTTCTTGGACAGCTGGAGCTTTGTAGAATGGATGTGTGCTATAAATGAGATCCTGTCCTTAGGATTTTCCACCCTCTTCCATTCTCTTGGCCCCAGATGCATTCCTGCTTTGTCCCCTCCTTATTTGATTCTCAATTTGCCTCCTTGTTCATTTTTTATTAATTTTATTGGATCATTGTGAATTATAGAGTTACAAAGTTATTCATTACTAAGTTTCAGGTTTACAGTGTTCTAGCACCTTCCCTCCACTTAGCTGCCTGCCTTTCATGCAACCAATCCCGGTTGGATCCTCAGCACCACATATAGTTCCCAGTACTACAGGAGTGATTTCTGAGCACTGTCCAGGTGTGGCCAAAAAACAAAAGTAAAAAAAAAATTTCACTTCTATTTAGAGAGAGAGAGCGAGAGAGAGAGAGCGAGAGAGAGAGAAAGAGAGAGAGGGAGAGAGAGAGAGAGAAATCAGAGGGACTGGAGAGATAATACAGGGGTTGAGGTGCTTTCTTTGCATGTGGTCAACCCCAGTTCAATCCCCAGTACTGCATGGGCCCCCATGCACCACCAGGAATGATTCCTGGTCACATTTGGGTGTGGTCTACATCCAGCCCACAATAACCGCCCCCCCCCAAAAAAAAAAAACAAGGTAACTCAGGAGACTTAAGTGTCCAACGTTTAGAAGAAAGAACATTAAAAACTATTTCCCTGAAGCCTCGAGTTCATGTCTGGGACACAGAAGTGACCGTGATCCTGGCAGCCTCCATCATCTTGATGTCATTATTTTGGGACTGAGAGAAAGGTGACTTGTTGGCTATTTTCCCTCTACTCTTCAACTGATCAAGTGAAGGAGGTTGATGATAGAGTTTTACACTGGTGATTTATCTACGCGCATAGACTTTCAGGCAAGAGCGGAACATGCTGGGTATGGCCCAGATAGAAACAGTGATCAGGTGTCAGATATTCAGACAAGTCTGATATTATTCGTGCTGGCAGTCAGGCTTCTATCTGAAAGCTACTCTGAAAGTAGTTTTGTTGCCCGGGATATGAGAGAGAGAGAGAGACAGAGACAGAGAGACAGAGAGACCTGCCAGAGAGAGAAGAGAGAGGAGAGAGAGAGACCTGCAAGGGAAAGAGAGGAGAGAGAGACCTGTCAGAGAGAGAGAAGAGAGAGGAAAGACATGTGCCAGAGAAAGAGAAGGGGAGCGAGGAAAGGAGAGGAGAGGAAAGTACCTGCCAGAGAGAGAGAGAAGAGAGAGGAAAAGCACGTGCCATAGAGGCAGGCAAGGAGTGGGGGGGTAATGGGAGGAAACCTGAGGACACTAGTGGTGGGAAATGTACACTGGTGGAGGGATGGGTGTTGGAATACCGTATGACTGAAATCCAGTCATGAACAGCTTTGTGATGGTCTGTCTCACAGTGAGTCAATAAAAACTTTAAGAAAAATTGATTGGACCCTCGGAGCATACCAGTGCTTCACTGCCCTAAAATTTTCAAGCGTCATAGGGAAATGTTTCACTGTATCACTATATTTTATTTTTTGTAGTGCTGGGCATTACACCCAGGTCTCATGTATGCAGGGTATGTGCTTTTCCACTGAATCACATCCCAGACCCTAATATATTATTATATTAGGAGTTAAGCTTTCCTGGGGAGATCAGGATGACTCTTTCTGCTTATTTTTCTCCTCCTTTGTACACCCTTCCAATTTCATCCTCACTTCAGCTCCATAAGGTAGAAGTTTCCTGGTCCTTCTCTGACAGGTGGGGACACTGACAAGCCAAGAGCCTTGACATCTTTGTCCAGAGGTTCCTGGTGTGCGTGCTGGGATCTGGACACAGGGCACCTGGTCAGAGGCTCCCTCGGTGCTGTACTCCCTTGGTGTGTACAGTGGGTCCTCATGGCTTTGTTTGTGTGAGCCATGTGGAACCCAGGGCCACACATGCAGGCGGGTTCTCTGCTGCATCCTGGCCCTGTACTAGTGGTTTGAAAGTGTTGGGAATCATAGACTGGCAGCAGAAGCATCACTTGGGAACTCTTTCAAAATGCACATCTCCGGGCCTACTGAGTTTGAAACTTCGGGTTGGATATTGAAGTCAGTGTTCTGGGAAATCATCCACGTGGTTCTGGGGGGCACATGCTAGTGAGAGAACTGCAATGTTTGCCTCTGTCAGAGGTGTTTGATGGAAACCTGAAAATCTTTTTCATGAGTTGTGGTAGAGAACTCCAAGTAGTGATGGAGAATGTAGCAATGAAGGGCAGCTATGGGTCTGACAGTCCAACGGTACACGCTTGAATCATGGGAAGGGAAGGGGTCCTTGGATGCTGGGTGGAAGTACTCTCTAGCATCAGCTGTAAAGTCTGGGCTTCCTGCTCCCAAGAGAAGAGAGGACTGGAATGAGAAGACTGTTCACTATATCCTGTTTGGTATCAAGAGGCCAGATTTTTTAATTTTGTTTGTTTGGTTTGGTTTTGGAGCTACACCCAGCAATGCTCAAGGCTGCTCCTGGCTATATGTTCAGGGCTCACTCCTGGTAGGTTTGAGGTACCATTTAGGATGCTGAGGATTGAACCCCAATTGGCTCTGTTTAAGGCAAGCGCCTTCCCTGCTGTAATATCACTCTGACCCCAACGGGTCAGTGATTTAAGGGTAATCAAATACGCTAGAATCAGAACTGATTAATTCACAGTCATTGTAGAAGTTGATGTTTAGCTGGTATCAAAGATAGATACTCTTCTTTCCTGTGGTGCATAAAGGAAATAAAATATAATCTGTCAGTCTATGTGATGGTGGCTACATGGGATCACACCTAACCATGCTATGCCCTTACAATGGGTGTAGCTTAGCATTGTAAGTAGCATCTGTCTAAAGAAAACATTTAAAACGACAAAGCCCAGTTATCCCATTAGTCACGATTTCTATTGTGTCCATACAGGTGTTACCCTTTTATAATGAGTGCCTTATGAATATATTTGATCTGAAATTTTTTAATGTGTCATGATTTTAAAGCATATTAAAATGTGCAGGTGTAAAATACAGGACACGCCTGCAGATCACAAGTGGAAAGCCTTCGTGGCTGATTAAACCATACAAATTTACTTGTTTGGAAAAGACAGGGCAACTTAATGATTAGGGAATGATTTGCGTCTTTATTCCTAAAGCATTGTAATTTATATTTATTAGATCAAGCACATTTTACTCCTAAGGCAAGTTTGCCTGTTTCATTTCCTCTCTGTTTTTTTTTTTTTTTTTGGCGTGGGAGAGTTACGGGCATACCCGGTGATCCCAAGGTCTGCTCCTAGCTTAGTGCATAGAGGGTCTCTCCCAGCAAGGCTCCAGGGATCATGCAGTTCCAGGGCTCAAACTTGGGGGCTTTGTCGTGAGAAGAATGTACTCCTCCTATTGAGCTATCCTCCTGGCCCCATAGTTGCCTGTTTTAAACCTGGATATTCAGAGAGAACTTAGGAACGCTGCTTTTGTGGCTTTGTGGCTGGTTTTATATTTATTGGATCAAGCTTTTTATTTTCTCCCCCACCAACCCCAACTTAACAATGCTTGCTTGAATTCCCCCCCCCCTCCTGTAAAGTAGATTCATTTGGAGAATACTGTGTTTTTTTGCGTGTTTGAATGAATCTGGGTCTGAGATGCTTTTTTTTTTTTTTTTTTTTGCGATGAAGGTGCTACCCGTTTATTACCTAATCATTAAGTTGCCCTCTCTTTTTCAAACAAGTGAATTTGTAGTTTCGATGTGGTTTATCAGATGCTATTAATGAACCACTGTTAGGGCTGCAAGGCCGTGGCACACGGGCCCCGATTACAGGAATTAAAATCATGTGTATTGGCTGCCCGCTGCTCCTCAGCACGACCGCTCCCTCATAATTCCTTTGCATCTAGTCGCAGCAGGAGAAGATTGACAGCATCGAAGACCATGTCAGCAGCGCCGCTGTGAATGTTGAAGAGGGAACCAAAAACTTGGGGAAGGTAAGATTCTGCTCCTGCCGACAAATCAATGGTACTCCGGTTCCTAGGAATCTCTCATATTAACTCAATTGATCTGCTCCCTTTAATGTTGGGGGGAACCAGCAATTAGGGAACTAAGGAAGAAATGACACATAGGTAGTGTAGGAAATCAATGAGCGTTGTAACAGTCTACTCTTAAGATTCATTTTGACCAGAAGGGACTTTTCTTTTTTTTTTTTCCAGAAACCAGTGCTCCACTGTAAGTAAGGCTTTGTGTGTTTCTAGAAACTGCTGGCTGAGGTTGGGAGAAAGTAGAAAGAAAGGCTTGGCGAGAATCCAGAGGGGGCAAAGGTTAAGAACAAGACAGCATGGCTGGGGTGGGATGGTCTGTTTTCCATAGCATCTTGCTTTTAACCCCAGGTATGTAGCACAGAGTAGCCTCTGTGCAGCCTTAAGAGCCCAGGCTGTCTGTGGCAGCTGGAGCTGGGGCGGTTGAAATCAGCCAGCTAGATAGTGGATTGATTGTTTTACAAGCAAAATCAATTTGTAACAATCCGCCCTTTGTAGCTCTTTCCTCTAAGTTTGGAGATGAGGAGGATTTGTAGTACCTGTGGAATACTTTTCTTCCCTCTCGCCTCCCACCCGCCTCCTCTGCAACCCCCCAGCTACGACCTCTGAGGTTAATTCTGTACCAAGAGTTAAAGAGGCATTGCCAGGAGTAATGAGAGGAAAATGCACATCACCACAGGCAGATATTCTCAACTCAATTTCTAAATTGAATTTTTTTCTTTTTTCTTTTCTTTTTTTTTTTTTTACAGGCTGCAAAATACAAGCTGGCGGCTCTGCCTGTGGCAGGTGCACTCATCGGCGGGGTGGTGGGGGGTCCCATTGGCCTCCTCGCAGGCTTCAAAGTGGCAGGAATTGCAGCTGCACTTGGTGGTGGGGTGTTGGGCTTCACAGGTGGAAAATTGATACAAAGAAAGAAACAGAAAATGATAGAGAAGCTTGCTTCCAGCTGTCCAGATCTTCCCAGCCAAGCTGACAAGAAATGCAGTTAGAGACCAAACTTTGCGTTCTTGACTGCCAGCTCGCTCTCTCCTAATGAGGACGTTTGTGGCTGCTGGACATTCAGCCGGCCCCTGGACCTTGAGTCTCTCGAGGGAGCGGCCGGAGCCACCCAAGTGCCATGGGTCTGTGGCAAGTGGAGGTGGTTGGTGGTTTGCTGGACTGTGGCTGCAGAGGTGCTGGAGCTGGAGAAGCCAGGGCTGGGGGGCTGGGGGACAGGGGACAGGCAGCTAGCACCAGCTAAAGCAAGCTCCAAGACCTCCAGGCACCAGATTTTCTCTTGGACACGTGAACCTGGAACCCGGAACTTTGTATAGGGCTTGAACTGTAGACATTTGGACTTGGAGACCCAAAGGAGCAGTGCAGGGGTCAGAGAGTGAGTCAGGAGCACGCGAGGGCTGCCAGGAAGCCCAGAGTGAAGTCGGTGTGGTGACCCGGACTGCAGCTTCCTCTGATTGTCTTTTCTGGCGAAGGAAGCACATCGCATCAGGGAAGCGAAGGAGCTCCCGCCCGGATTGCTGCACCTGTGGCACCGGCCACTTCTTCTGCCTTTCCTTAAATAAAAAAACAACCAAGAAAAAAAATCTCCAGTGTTAGAAGACTGAGCGAGCCATCGTGGTGTTTGCTGACTTACGAGCAAGTCTGCTAAAACACCTTCAAGATCCAGTGCTCTTTGCTTTTGAAAATGTCTTTGGTGTTTTTGAGAGGGCAGGGAGGGGGGTGAATTCTAAGCCATGTGTGATGAGGACTTTTCTCATCATCTTCTTTTTTTTTTACTCTTGTTCCGATCTCTGTTCAACTTTTTTTGTAACCTCTAGGTTAGAGGAGGGAGGCGGGGAGGAAGGCAGGAATCTCCAATCTCCAAATATTGCCAACGTTGTTACTTTGAGCTATTTTTTTTTTAAGTAGGGGGGAAATGAAAAAGTCTTTTCTTGGGGGCATTTTCCAATTTCAGGGGCCGATACACCTACCACAGGGGGGAACGTCGACCCTTGAGTCTGTGGGAGTAAAGCAGTATTTCTCTACCTCAGTGTGTTTGTCCCGTTTGCTCTCAGGGCTTGCTCTTCCCGCGTCCCTCCACAGTCTCCCTGGCTGCCTAAGAAGGACACCCCCTCCACCTTCTCGCCCACTCAGCGGGGCTGGGAACAAGGCCCAGGCCAGACTCCCACCCGATGGCGGGGCTGCGGTGCTAAGCCCACTTGACGTGACTTGCAGGCGGCAGGAAGCTCTGGAAGGCAGGCAGTTTTAAGTCCACAGTAACGGACATCCTCCACTGGTACCCCCAGCTCACCTGAAATAGGACGGAGACCCCTTTTGGCCTTTCCCTTGACGCCTCTCTGAGGACCCTGGGATGGGCACCGCCTCACAGAAGCCGAAAGCGCACCCAGCTCAGGAGCCAGTGTGGAGGGGTCTGGGCCACCGGTCAGCTGATCTGTGCCCCTGAGCCACTGACTGCAGTCCCTGTCCTGCTCCCCTTCCCCGGGCCTGGTCTTCAGTGCTGCCTTAGCCCCATCCTGCCAGGCCAGAGCCAGCTGTGTTCTGCAGCCGAGGCTGGCGGCAGCTCACATGTCATCCTGAGTTTTCTCATATTGCTAGAGCAGTCTTCGTATAAAGACAAGTTACAGCCCTTTAAAAAAAAATGGTTCATAGGGGCAGAAGCGATAGTAGGGCAGTGGTTAGGACACTTGCCTTGCATGTGGCCAACCTGGGTTCAATCCCCAGCATTCCACATGGTCTTCCGAGCACCGCCAGGAGTGAGGGCCAGAGTAGAGAGCCAAGAGTAACCTCTGAGTATCAACGGGTGTGACCCAAAAAGCCCCCTCTACCCCCCAAAAAGTTTCATAATACAGAATTATTTAGAAATTGTATTTTTCTGTAATAGATTTTAATAGTCTGTATTGGCAGAAGGTTTTAGAACTGTTTACTCAGCTATCAGTAATATGTGAATAAATGAACCTATATAGAAATATAAAGCAGTCACTCTGACACAAGGTAATCTTACAATTAAATGCCCTAAAGTATCAGATGACGTTTATCTTCTTTGAGTCATGTCTTTTATTTACACAGTATTTTTAAGTTAGAAGGGAAGACTTAAGTTCTTAAAACTTGTAAGGGTTTCTTTTGGTTTAGGGGACATACCCAATGATGGTCAGGGGCTACTGCCAGCCCCGTGCTTTGGGGGTCACTCTAGCAGTGCTTGGGGAACCATGCAGTGCTAGATATCAAACTTGGGCCTCCTGTGTGCTGAGCATGCCCTCAGCTCATTCATTCTGGTTAGTGGCAGAACTTCTAAAGACATATCGGCCCTAATAATCGGAGACTTCTCCATGGATTGGAGAATTTGAAGTGTTTTGATTGTATCCATTGCTTTAAAAAAAATTGCATTATGCACAGTGGATCAATAATCTGGCCATTATGTGAATGCTCTCTGGTGCGTCTTTTTGTTTTAAAATATGTTGATTGCAATCCACTGACTGCTTTCCTAATATTCAGACTATAAGAAAACACTCTTGGGGAAGATCCGGTATTTCCTGAGTAGTGTGTTTGCTGTGACCTCTAAATAGTTGGCGGGGGGTGAGGGGGAGGTGTTAGACTGTCCGAGAATTCTGGATTGTTGCCTCCAGAGTCAATTTTGTAGGAAAAGTCTTGACTTGTACTGGCCAGGGGCCGAATCCCTTATCTTTAATACCAACCACACTTCATTTATAAACCTTTGAGCTTGTGAATGGGCTGGAGCGATGGCACGGTGGGTAGGGCACAGGGCCGAACCAACCGACCCAATTCCTCCGCCCCTCTCAGAGAGCCCAGCAAGCTACCGAGAGTATCTTGCCCGCATGGCAAAGCCTGGCAAGCTCCCTGTGAAGTATTCAATGTGCCAAACACAGTAACAACAAATCTCACAATGGAGACGTTACTGGGCCCGCTCGAGCAAATCGATGAACAATGCGAGGACAGTGACAGTGACAGTGTGTTTGCTGGGTACTCTCTAGGCCGATTACAGGTAAGGAAGCTGAGGCTGGGGATAAACTTCCAGAGGTTCTCAACTATAGAAGGTGAAGCTAGATGGTTGGAAGTCTTTGTTACTACACAGCCTTCCTTTTACTCTCACACCTTGCTGCTTGTCAACACGAAGTTGAGATGGCCACTTCTCCCCATCACTCATGCATCTGTAAAGCAAGTTTGCTTTGCAGCTACCCACGACAGTCCTTTGCACTCTTAAAATCCTGTCCCTCTTCAAAGGGCTTACTAGTGACTGTGGCATTTGTACACAGTGCTGAGCTTAGCCCTTAGATACTAACATTAAAATTACTTATCCCACCCACAGATCCTGCAAATATGCTTAATATCTGTGGGGTCCAGTTTCCATGCCAAACCGGGCCATGACAGCTGATGTGAAAGACCAGACTCAACAGGGGCCTGAGATGGCAATTACATTAATTTTCTTAATCTTCAGTATTGTCTGTGATCTCAGAGCCAAAGCTTGGAGGCCTTTTCTGTAGCAACATAGATTACAGTCTGGCGTGGACAATTGCCCAGCTCTTAAGAGAAATTTGGCAATTAAATATTTGAGAAAAAAAAACACTCAAAAATATGTGTCATTCATATATTTCTCAAGTACTTGAAATTATACTTAGTTAACTGTAATTTTCTATATTTAATCTCTAAAAAGATGTTTACCGGGTTTCATTGGTTAAAAACCCAAAGATGTTTTCCATTGTATTGTCAAATCCTTGGTATTTGTGAAGTAAATACAATACCCAGCAGTTAGAATTTCTGCAACTTGTAGAAAGCATATTGATAGGATGATGTTGGCTGAATGACTACTGTATAAGGAAAACCTGCAATAAAGTCACACAGTCCAAAATTACACCTGATGAAGTCATGATTTGTGTTCATTGTCCTGGTAAAGAATACTTCTTAATGCTATTTATTTTCAGTAAGTAAACTGAATGTGCCTGTTTTGTGTTCCATGTCCAATAGAAGGAAATGGACCAAGCAGTGCAGGGGCAGGAGCATGGAGTGATCAGCTCTGCCTGAAAAGAAAGGGAAGGTTTTGTTGAACATGAAGCCATGGTCTAAAGGAGAATATTGGCTGAGCAACGAAGGATGAGAAGGATGATGGGATTTAAAGGAACAGAGGAAGTGCATGAACAAAGGGCACAGAACGTGAGAGAGAAAACCAAGGAATTAACTATTGTGACAAAGCAGGTTAGATAGAAATACAGATGAGAGTGGTTATATTTAATAATTCTTTGTTCAAAGGAACTGATATATTGCTTTCGATCAGATAAGGCTGATACAACCTTTTGAGTTTTTCATTTTGCCCTTGTTGCCAGGAAACTTAGACATAAACCTCTCATTTGCCTGGATCTTAAAAACATATATGCTTTCCTTTCCCATATGTATGAAATGATTTGTGCTTTCTCGCTTTTCTGCCATGAGATCCCCTGCTCAATATTGAATGCCGGCTTTTTTCCTGTCTTGCTATTCGTTCCATAAATATTTATTGGAGACCCACTGAGAAAAGTCATGAAATTTACCCTTGTGTCCAAGACTTTCATGGCTGAGTTTTTTCATCTCTACATGACTGTTTCTTGACTGCTGTGACTCAGTGGATCCCATTTTCACTCTGCTAAATTCGGCAATATTGTACAACTTGATAGGGGGCCAATTTATGTGTATGATTGGGGGGTCCACACCCGTGGGTGCAGTCTATTTCCACCCCCACCCCCACTGTCTCTGTGCTCAGGGTCACTCCTGAGAGATGCTCAGAGGACCATGTGGTACCATGGATGGAACGGGAGCCTCCCACACGCAAAAGGGATGTAGCTCTTTACTCCATGATGGTGTGGTCTACCCAACTAGACTAGAAGTTCCTTTGAGGGTAAAAAACATATTACATGCTCTTTCGAGTGAGGTGATGAGAATGAGGAAGGATCACACTCCCATGTGGTTCATGACACAGGTGATAAGTAAGGCCACTCGAGTCATTCTGTCATTTCTTGGCAACATATATTAGAATGGGGGAAGCTTCCTAAGCAAACTTTGGCTCAGTACTCATTTTTACATTAACAGAGGAATGTGACAATCTGGAAGCTATTTCTTGGATGTGTAAGTCAGAAACTGAAAACTTCAGAATTTAGAGATAGATACTTCATATCCCTTTTTCCAATTAAAAGTCATAACTTAGAAATGCGCAGCTATCTGTCATGAATCAGTGAAAAAATGGGGTGGGGGAAATGGGGTTCATCTTCTGGTCTATCATAAGATGGATAGGGCCAGAATAGTAGACCCAAGGATTTACGATCTGCTGGGATTTTTTTTTTTTGGTCAGTTTTGGTTTTGGACCACACCTGGCAATGCTTAGAGGTTACTCTTGGCTCTGTGCTCAGGAATTAACTCCTGGCAGGCTCCAAGGACCGTATAGGATGCTGGGTTTCAAACCTGGGTTGGCAGTGTGCAAGGCAAACACCCTACCCGCTGTATTATCCCTCTGGCCCCACCATCTGCTGGTCTTATGTATTAAAACTGTAGCACTGGGAGGTTAATTACTCTGAGAGGCAAGTAAAGATGGAATGAAGTGAAGGCAGGGCTAAATTGCAAGGTTTATTTTTCTTCCACTGACAGGATTTAAATCTAGGTTTGTGATACTCAGGTTCACCGACTCACTCAACAACCTGTGAGCTGAGAGAATTCTCCATAGATATTAATTTCCCTTCTTTCTCCAAGAATTTTGTTGTTCATATCAGATTGCCATCTCTTATCTGGGCTAGGATGGAGAAAAATAATTAGCCTTCGTTTCCTTCAACTCCCCTTCCCCAGTGCTCTTGCCTATTCACAGTGGGAGGGAATGGGGGGAGAAGGGGGTGCTGAGGATGGGAAGAATTAAAACATGCTAAATACTTAGAGTGAGTCTGTATCAAAATAACTACACATGACTTGTAATAACTATACTAACAGCCGCTGGTATTATTGGAATTGTTCCTATTTCTCAAAGTTTATTTTCATTTTTGAAATAATGAAACACATTATTGAAATAGTGAAACACCACATCCAGCAGTGCTTAGACTTACTCCTGACTCAGCGTTCAAGCATTACTTCCGGCAGTACTCAAGGGACCATGTAGGGTGTCAGCTGCACGCAAGGCAGGCACCTTACCCAGTGCACTATCTCTCTAGCCCAGTTCTTTTCTAATTTTTAAAAGATAATTTTTCTAAAAGAAGCATCAGGTGCCTAAAAATGTATTAGACATCAGACAAGTGAATTCTTGATACAAAACCCAAAACTAATGATGACAGCTAGCTGGTAGGTAGGCTGAAATGTTTTTCATATCAATTAGAGTAACCACAGGACCTCTGTGCAGGCTGGGGGTACAGAACAACAGCAGAGAGCATCTTTGCACACAGGAGGCCTTGGCACTTCACTTTTTTTTTTGATCCCTGGCACTACCACCAAACAACAGAAGGAATATCCTAACATGTAAATGTGTAAGGTTTGATGAAGTGGAATGATTACACCTGATGAAGTCATGATTTGTGTTCATTGTCCTGGTAAAGAATACTTCTTAATGCTGTTTATTTTCAGTAAGTAAAATACATACCAGCACAGATAAGCAAGTACATGACCTTTAACCTAAGTGCTCAAGTGACTCAACTTAGGAGAAATAGGACAAGCAATTCCAAGTCATACTCTGCTATTCCTGTGAGACACTAAGACTGGATAATGAGCACCTTTATGATGGTCAGTTTCACCGGGGGGAGGGGGACAGGGGAGGAGTCTCATGTGTTAGGAAAGTACAGATCTTTCTGTTCCCAGCCAAGAAACACTCATGTAGGAGAGCTCCCCATACCTTAAGGCTGTCTTCGGAGGCATATTTCCATGCTTCTGTGGTTAACTCACAGCATAGCATCCGTTACAATCACCTTTTTTACACGTTTTATTCCTTTTCTCCTTTTTTGTTTTTTTGAAAGAAATACTTCAGGTGGTACTCAGAGAACCCTGGTGTGGCAGGATCAAAACAGAGTTCAGCTGTGAGCAAGGCACATGCTTT